GGGCCAATGGATTTGCAGTTTTTTAAGGTTTTGGATGAAGTGAGATTTTCATGGTTTGTGAACCTTGGAGGCCTGCAAACGTACCGAGAAAGACCAAAACCATAAGAGGCCCTAATCCCTAAAAGCCCTAAACCCTAAAACCCCTGAACCCTAAAAACCCTAAACCCTAAAAACCCTAAACCCTAAAAACCTTAAACCCTCAAACCACTAAACACTAAAAACCCTAAACTCTAAAAACCCTAAACCTCAAAACCCTAAACCCTAAAAGCCCTAAACCTTAAAAACCACCTAAACCCTAAAACCTTAAACCCTAAAGACCCTAAACTCTAAAAACCCTAAACCCTAAAAACCCTAAACCCTAAAACCCTTAAAAACTACCCCAAAACCAAATAAAGACAATAGAACCACCTAAACCCTAAACTACCCTAAACCCTGAAAACCCTAAAACCTTAAACCCTAAAACTCTAAACCCTAAAAACAAGCTAATCCCTAAAAAACCCAAACCTAAAAACCTTAAACCGTAAACCCTTTGAAACTCCAAGAACATTCGAAGTCCCAAAAACGATGACAGTTACGAGGATCGCGACCCCAACCCTCACGATCCCTGTAACTGTTGACATTTTTGAAACTTCAACAGGATCTGAGGGTCCACTTGCGATGACAGTTACGAGGATTGCGACCCCAACCCCCACGATCCCTGTGACTGTTCACATTTTTGAAACCTCAAGAGGATCTCAAGGTCCAAAATCGATGACAATTGCGAGGATCGCGACCCCAACCCCCACGATCCCTGTGACTGTTGACATTTTGGAAGCTCTAAGAGGATCCGAAGGCCCAAAAACGATGACAGTTATCAGGATCGCGAATCCAACCCCTTACGATCCTTGTGACTGTTCGAGATGCCAGAAAACAAAAAAAAAACAAAATAAAACAAAAAAATCCCTAAAATAATTTCGCACCCATTCTTAGCATGCAAGAACTGTAGACCCACCGGATGAGGGGGCCAAGCATTCCAGATGAAAATGTTGCCGCCAGAATCCCCGCCCAACTGCCAAGGAGGCTCACGGAGACTTTCTGCGGACGGCATGCTTGTCGCTGTTTAATATCAACATCGACGAGCTGCCCAAAGACGTTCCAGGATGGTGAGTCCCAGTGCGCACTCGTATCGTTTCTGAGAAGTATGTCGTGACTGTAAGGTATTCTTGATTGTGGATCAGGCACTACCGTGGACTCGTTCTCTGAGAATTTTGAAGTTTGCCGATTTGACGAGTGTTTGAAAAGCCCTGACAAGAATCAATCTAGCCTTCTTGACTTATTACTGTCACCGGGACCTGTAGTACCAGGAGAAGAAGATACCATGGAACCCTGAGTGAACTGGATTGGTCGTTGGGCTGCCTCCAAATCAGTCCAGAGCTTCCCCCCATGAGAATCTGTAGAGGAAGCTCCACAACATCCACCAGCCTGCCACCCGCATCGGTGCGGTCTTCGCAGCCTGCACGGTCCATGCCTGCGCATGTTTCGTCCGAGCACTTGGGCTGCAGGAGGCCCGAAGCTCCAGACCTTTTGAACCACCTCTGTCTCAACTTGACCGCTTATGTTCCGAGGACTCCGGAAAGAGACTTTATCGGGCTGTTCCTAAAAAAGTTACGACGATTACCAATGATTGTGCCATCTTGTGCCGGTGATGGGGACTGCTGCACAGTTGTTCGTGCAAAGCTTTGCAAGTGCGTGACAACTGTTAACTCTAGCGCTGTCACCGCGTGCACCAAACCAACAATCATAGGCCCATGTTCCAGGGATGTCTTTTGCCGTCTGAGGTCGAACGTCACAGAGATCTCTGCCAAAGTGAAGCAGCAGCTCTCCGGCGTAATCCCAGAAGACGTGGTGGACAAAGACACTTGGTCTGAGACAGTCCTTGACTGTAACCACCTCCAAATGCTGACTCACACTTTCGAAGCATGCTTCTATGAAGCATGGTCTTGGCATGCATCGATGTGTTCCCCCTTGGCATTGCGCGTTCTATAGATTATGAAGCCTTGGCTCCAAGGCGGCTGATATGTCTGGTATCCAAGGAGCTGCCCTGGATCCTGGATGACATTGCGCACGGCCGAAGAACTAGCCAGATGAACATGCGAACAAAAGGAGTGTGCTTAATTGCATGCAAGGCTTGTCCAGGGTCAGGCGCGCATCATTTTTCAAGGGCTAACGAATGGAAAGCACCACAGTTTGGGAGTCTTAGCCTTCTGTTTGGGTCTGCGAGGTGTCTTGCTCAAGCTGCATCTTCCCTCAGGCCCTTGTGAACTTGAGACGTTTGTTCCACCGAGGTTCAAGAAGTGGGCCATGGTGGTGATGTCTCGTGGCGAGACGGTAAATTTGCCCGACCGCGACAACAAGAGCACCGCGGCTGCAACCGAGATTGATTCAGGGTATTTTTTTGGATCAAGCTTTGAACTTATCCATCCCCAGTCAGATACAGTAAAGCCGGATTTAGCCTCGGCAGCTACATCCAGGTTGTTGAGGAAGTCAGGCTTGGGCTCACTACACTTGTGACTGCAAGCCATATGAATGAAGGGTTCGAGCAAGAAGCCTCACTTCATTCTGCAGTTGTTCGTATGCGGCACGCGCAGGCTGAAGAAAGGTATACAACTGCCTTGACACTTCGTCCGACTCGGTTCTAGGGTGTCTCTGAGGGTGGGTCGGATTCTGCGTGAGGCCAGACATCACCGCAGCTTGCAATCATGCGCCCTCCTCAGATTGCGTAGCCGGCATGAAGCTGGAGAGGAACTCACCCACAGAAATGGATATCACCTCAGAACTAATAGGGTTGCCAGACGTCATTAGCATAGTGCACGGGCGCAACGTCTTTGCATATTGCGATGGCCGTTGTAGCAGTCGTCATGGATCAGGCGCACTACTTAACATGCACTACCACGTCTCAACACGTCTTGTTGTGATGGTTGGAGCACATCTTTGTATGAATGGTGGCTTCCCAAGATCAAGTGCCTAGTGTTTGGAGGACAAATACAGCCGCTAGAGCCTCATGCATGACTTCGAGGCTGTAACTTCCAAAGATTCTGCTGCTGAAGCCCCTAGTTGGGGGTCATCAGAATAAAAGGAGTTTTGAAAGGCGGGCCCTTGATGTGTGGGCGGCTGGATGTGCAACACCTGACCAGCAGAATGCTTTTCCAGGATACCGCATGAGAGACGGACTACCGTTCCATCTCTTTAAGTGAGTGAGTGTCATAATTCCTGGCAAATCATGGATCTAATTAGTCGGCCAAACAAGGTTACCCCCTTGCTCTGGAGTATGTAAAGCAAGATGAACGAGATTGCAGCATGGTTGTGGGGCTTGGGCCAAACAAGAACCTTGGACAGCTGCTCACGTTTCTTACCGTGCAACCCATTTGGGCTAGCATATCTTTTTCCAAACGAAAGGAGAGGAGTAGTGCATCAGGCATTGAGCTCGGTCCGACTTTCAAAATGAGTGACGTCAGGTTCGGGGGGGTGCAGGTAGACAGCAGGCTGCCTTTGGTGGTTCCTAATCTAGAAGACCGACCGACCCATAGCTGCTATGCTTGCCCCCAGGCCTCTCATCGATCTGGTGGACCACCACCTGCCCATGCCAGAGCCACCCGGCTCAAAGAGGGATATGGGGGTTTCCCAAAATTAGGGGTACCCTTTTGGGGGTCCCTATAATAAGGATTATAATATTTTGGGGTCTATATTGGGGTCCCCTTATTTTGGGAAACTACCATATCTGGGTTTCAGACACCCGGGGGATAAAGGGAATTATGCGTGTCTCTGTTACAGAGTCATGAGCGGAGATTCCCTAGGCTCTGTTTTTGGAGGTGGGGGGTTCTTATGTCAGGAGAAGGGTCATCGGTTGTCTGTTTTGGGAACGGCTATTACAATTTCAACCTGAAGGATGCAGCTCATACAACAGGGCTTGGAAAGTCTTCCATACGAGCTGAGTACTGTCCCTCTCAGACGGGGAGGCACTAGTCAGCCAGTTAGCCAATTGCATAAGACCTCGATTTCGGGCAAGGCTGACTGGAGTAGAATTGTTGGGCTGCGTCCGACCTAGCTGCATTGCATTCAAGCTTCCTGGCTCCAGCTGACAGGGAAGCTCTCCACTCCTACGATGACCTGACCAAGTTCCAGGCATCATACCAGCATTCGCAAGTTTGCAACCGGACATGGGTGGCAGAGGGGGATCTTTTCAGACCGCTTAGCGCCAGTTGCTTTGCGGCTTAGAACACGGGAGCCGCCAGCAGAGGAGTCAATCTACAAACCTCGCGAAAAATGCAAGAAACAAGTGCGGGGTTATGCGGAGTTCAACCCCTTTTAGGTACCCGTATTGCGGAAATAAAGGTTTGCCAAAGCCAAGTAAGTAGCTACGACGCACAAAAGAGAATGGCAAATTCGACTTAAGGCATGGAGCAACAGGCCGCAGTGCATGACTTGAGGGATGTGCAGGTGCAACGGTAATCAGTTTTCTACAAGGTTCCTGAACATGATTTTTAATTTCTGTTACCTAGAATCCTAATATTTAGCTGAAATTATAATTTCTACTGGGGTTCCAAATCCCTTAGAGTTTTGTGCATGCAAGGAGCGAGGCTCCCGGACGAACATCTCCTATGTCTACGGCTCAGAAGATAGAACCAAGTGTTTCCTGGGTTGCTGTTAAGGAGCTTAAATTAAGTTACTATATTATCCCCCTATAAGGGAGAATCAAATGGAAAAGAAAATGGAAAATGAAATGGAAACTGGGGGAATATAGGGATTTAAGGGACTT